CCTGTGTCCCCGCCTCAACTCTGAACTTCTGGGGTCAGGTTGTTCCACCGATGCCAGACACTGAATTTGATTCTAATCCTACAAGATCTCCTTTCTAACGTCATGAAGGAAGATTATAGGTTATAGACAACCCCCACTGAGCCAGAGATTGGGACAGGCTTGTCAGGGCTGTGAAGGAGGCAAATTAGTAGATGCTATGGTCACAAAAGACATAGGTTCTTTTGGGTGCCCTGGGTAGCACTATCATTCTGTACTAATTTGATTTCAGATACTATTGTGAAGCATCTGCTACTGTGGAGAAATATATAACTAGCGTTTTGGGCACCTGGGGCAACACAAATCACACCTGGACAAGTGGCATGAGACACCCTCAAGATGATGAGGGGGATAGAATGCTGGGGATGAAGTAAGGAATTCTCATCTTCCTGAGTTCAAATCCAGCCTCAGACACTTAGGATCTTGGGCAAGTCATTTAACCCTGTTTGCCTCAGCTCCTATCTGTAAAATGAGCCGGAGAAGGAAACGGCAAACCACTCCAGTGTCTCTGCCAAGAAAACCCCAGATGGGGCCACGAAGAGTTGGAAACGACTGAACAACAATATCAGCTTCCTATTTTAACTATTTTTTCTTGCTACTTAGATATTAAGTTCTGTTGTTTCTATACTGAAGGAATGTAAATGCTCTTGATCCATTCTCAATTCTTTTCCTTGTGGCAAAGCCCCAGTCACCCCACCCATCCTAGGGAACTAGGATGCCAGACTTTAAATGCTTGTAGGTCCTGGGCTGATATATAATGCCTTTTAGATTCTTAGGCTCCTGGATTCTATTCTCCTGCCTCTACCCTGTCTCCCTCCATCATTGACTTTGCACCCTTGCTAATGGCCTATGCTCCAACTGACCTCTTCTAATCTTAAAGCCTTCCTTGATTTCGCAACCCCCTCAAGTAGGTAATGACTTTTTCTCTCTTGAACTTCACTTAGCACATTGCAATTTTATATAATAGTTATCTATATGTTCCACATTACCCCAACTACACTAAGAGCTCCATGAAGAAAGTGATAATGTCTTCTCTGATAGGGCACTGCCCATAGTAAGTGCTTAACAAAAGTTAACCTAAGTTGAGTGGCTTCCACAATCTGACTCCCACCTATCTTTCCAGGATTATTTTATGTTACTCCCCTTTTTTTCACTTGCCATTCCAGTCAAGCTGGTCTGCTTGAACAGGAACATGCCCCTACATATTTCCCATTTGGGAACTTTCCATCTCCTCCCCTATATCTTTGCACAAATGGTCCCTGTGACTGAAATGCATTCCCTCCTCCCCTCTATTTCATAGTATCCCTTATTATTGTTGTTCTGTTGTGTATGACTCTTCATGACCTCAATGGGGTCTTCATGGCAGAGACACTGGAGCGGTTTGCCATTTCCTTCTCCAACTCATTTTACAAATGAGGAAACTAAGTTAACTGACTTGCCCAGGGTGACCCAGCCAGTAAGAGTCCGAGGCTGGATTTGAACTCGGGAAGATGTGTCTTCCCAACTCCAGGCCCAGCCCTTTATCAGCTGCACCACCTAGCTGCCCAAATGCCTGGGGTGCATTCCTTCCTCCTCTCTACCTAATAGAATCCTTAGCTACCTTCAAAAACACAGCTCAGGAGTCACCTCCTAGACGAGGGCTTTGCTAAACCTCCGTTTTTTACTGTTGTGTCCCTCTTGAAATTACTTCTTGTGACTTTGTATATGTTTTGTATTTATTTAATTATGCATATCACACTCCTTCTTTCCCTCCAGTGGAAATGCAAACTCCTTGAAAATAGAGGGATTAATTTTTATTCAGCAAGATTCTCTAACAATCTGAGTCATCTCGAGGTGGAATGGGCCACCTCTAGAGGTAGTAGGTTCCTCCTTCTTGGATGTCTTCAAGCAAAGGCTGGATTTCCACTTGCCAGGTAGATCTTGTTCAAGTTTAGGTTGGGCTGGTTGGCCCCTGAGCCTCCTTCCCACCCTGATATTCATGGAATCACAGAATTAGAGATTTGGAAGGGATCTTAGTTGCTATCTGGTCCAACCCAAAGGAATGCCTGCTATAACATCCCTGAGGAGTAGACCCATGAAGACCTTTGAGGAAGAGGCTCAACCACCTTCAGTCAGTCCATTCTACTCCTGGACCCCTCCAATTGTTGGGAAGTTTTTTTTTTTCCTGATGCTAGGTCTAACTTGACCTTTCTACAACTTCCATCCATCACCCTTAGTTCTGCCCTTTGGGGACAAACAGAAAAGTCTAATTCCCTTTTCCAGATGGCAGCCCTTGGAATACTTACAGATGCCTTTAGTCTTTTATCCTGCCCGGTTCTTTCTAATGATCTTTATGTCATGAATTCAAGACCCATCAACATCCTCGTTGCCCTCCTCTGGAGACTCTTCAGCTTGTCTCTAGCTTTCTTCAACCATTATGCCAAGAATTGAACAAGATGTGAGTTCTGGCAAAGGCAAAGTAGGTGGGACTATCACCTTTGTGGAAACTACGATGCTCTCAGTGTAGCCAAAGATTGCATTCGCTTTTTTTGCCTGCCACATCACAGTGCTGACATATTGAACTTGTAGTCCACTGAAACACCCAGATCTTTTTCAGACCAACAGCTGCCTATCCATACATCTCCCATGTTGTACTTGTGAAGTTGACTTTTTTCATCCAAATGTAAGACTACATTTATCCCTAATGAATTTTCAGCCTAGTGTTCTAACCCAGGGGTAGGTAAACTACAGCCCAGGGATACCTTCAGTGAATTAAGAATGGCTTTTGCATTTTTAAGTACGATAAAACTGTATTCTAAAATGCTAAAGAAAAAATAATCTTACTTGAGGGCAGGTCCCCTAGACTTAAGATTGCTCACCTCTGCTCTAGCCTATCAAATTCCTTTCAGATGCTAACTCTGTCATTCAGTATGTTCGTTAGCTCTCTGTTTTTTATCATCTACAAATTTGATGAGCATACCATCTATGTCTTTGTCTAAGTTATTGATTAAAAATGTTAAACAGCACAGATCACTGTGTACTCTTTTAGAGACTTGTTATGTTGACATCGAGCTATTCTTTGAATCCAGTCATTCAATCTGAATTTGAACTGAATTTATCTGATTTTATCATCTAATCCATATCTATCTTCTCCATAGGGGCCGTTGCCAGTCGTCTTGACTTATGTCTTGCTACTGGATTCTGATTACTGTGGAGGAGTGAGGCTGATGACCTTGCTCAGCTCTGTCTCACTTTAATTCAATTCACCTACAAGTCAAGACATCATCCTCTTGATGTCAATGGTCCTCTTCAAGAATGAAGGGTGAACAACATCTTCTCCACAATTGTAGGAGATGTTTTATCAAAAGCTTTTCTAAAATCTAGTTAAACTCTATCCACAGCATTCTTCTCATCAACTAGTTGAGACAAAAAAATCTCGTCAAAAGAGGAAACAAGGTTATTACAAGCATCACTCGGTCTTGATGAAGAACAGCCTGGCTCTTTGTAATCACCACTTCCCTTTCACCAACCAAACTTCTTTAACTGCCCCCTTTTCCCCCCCAGGAATTGAAATCAAGTTCACTGGCCTGTAGTTTGTAGACTGTTCTCTAGCCTTTTTTAAAAATGCAGATAACAGTTGCCCTTCTCCATTCTTATGGTACCTTTTCCATCTTCCGCGATCTTTTAAGTATCGCCGACGACGGCTCAATAATCACATCTGCCAGTCCAGTTTTTTTTTTTTAAAGAGATTAAAGGTTTTAGCCTCTCTCTGTCCGTGTGGCCTAAATTGAGATGACGATGATGAATATATTCCAAATTGCCCTTGGGTCACAGAGACAGTGCTAGGGAATTGTTGGGAACAGCCTGGCTAGAGGGTAATAATCCTGGAACAGGCATGGGAGCTGTTGTTTCTGCTGCATTGTCTTCTTGAGGTTTCGAGACTTGGAGTAGGCAACACATGGTTCTGCCATATGCGACTTCCTCACAGAGCCAGGAATCACAGTAATGAAATAAAACCAGAGCTAATGGGATGGAATGCATCATTCTGTGCCTTGGGGCCAACAACAAATTGCATAGACATGTTCTATGGAGATGACAAAGGCATGGCTTGGCTGATAGCATGATCTTACCAACCTTAAGCACTACTGAGAACTTCTTTGTCCCTGTGTGGCCTAGCTTCTTCCAGTGACCAGAATTCTCACCCTATTCTAAGGGAAAATGGGCTATATGAGGATCAGTGAAAGTGACATCATTCAAACAGTTTTGTTTTTGTTTTTCCTAACAAACCCTTTGCTACCATCAAACTTATGCCATTAATTTAATTCAACAAACATCAATTAGGTGCTTATTACAAGAAAGGTGCTTGCTAGGTGATGAAGGTGAAATAAGATTTCTTTGTCCTCAGGAGCTAATAATTCCCAATAATAATAATTGAAAATGTGTGATAGTAGTAAAGGTTTGAGTCTGTGAGTACCTCTACTCGGTCATTGAACAAAGCTTTGAGAATGGTGTCCTGCTTAGTATGGGTCTGTAATACACTCCCCACTCCTATCCTCCACGCCTTTTCAGCTTCACATACTTGCTGCTGGGATTCAGAAGTCTGAGGGTGGCTTGAGGTCCTAAGCTGTGTTCTAGCCCACTGCCCCGGGCCACCACTTTGGCCGACACACTGGCCACTCCCAGAGGTGCAGTCACTCCCACCCAGGCCGCAGACCCCCCTCCCTAGTCCTGGCCTTAGTTCCACCGGCAACCTTTGACCCTTGTTCTTTATATAAGTATCCATCTTTGATAAAACAGCATTCAACTTAACTGGGCTTCATAATGGAAAATTTTACTTAACCAGGAAAAAAAAAATAATTTCATCCAAATAGCAGCAGGCTACAAAACCATCTCACGTTTATTTTTTCATCTCTAGCCACTTAATACCGACTATTTCTTTATTTTGGATCCTCTACTTATTTCTATATAAAGATAAAAACAAAGCATGAAAGTTAAAAATTCTTTATTTCAAGGAACAGGTACAGCATTATAAAGACTTGTTGGAAAGCATTAAATACATATCATCTGTCATTTGTTTCCTTTGTGAACTGCAATCCCAAATAAATATCAAAGGAGAAAATGGTATCTTCCCTTTCCCCTGGCCCTTATCTTTAATGCAAATGCTTAATTCAGCAAGTGTGGGCATAATCTTAAACATATGATCCTGGTGAGACAACATCTCTTACAAACTCTCAGGTCTATCTCCCAGGAAGAGATTGTTCATCTCCTCAACTGTCAGATGAAACAGATAGATCTAGGTCAACTGGAGCTACCAATGTGATGAGAACAAGAAACCAATATTCCTATATTCAAGATTTCATGGTAGTTTCCAACTGTGGGGGAATCCATCGCTTGGTTTCATTCTGCACAAACACTAAGGGGAAACCACAAATTCATAAATTTACCACAGGCAACACTAGTAAATATTTAGAAAATGAGAATAGGCTTGTTTCTCATCAGGAAACTGACTCAAACATTTTTAAAAAATCAAGCTGAGTTCCTAGAAGGGGAGCAAATTCTGAAAGGATCTAATCAATCTGGAGATGATCACCTGAATAATATTTGACCAAAACCAATAAATTAGTGAGTTATCTCTGTGCTGACACTTCTATTCTTACTCATCTGTTTTAACTGATAACCACTGTCATCACTGGGGAGTATAGCACAGTGATAGCCAAAAGTGGTAAATTAGGTCACACATTTATTCTTATGATTTTAAACCTACTTTTCTTAAAAAATACACAAACCCCTTTTGAGGTATGAATGCTAATAAACAAACCATTAGATGGTGAGCAAACATTTGCTAATTTGACAGATCTCAGACGCAGCATATACATTACATACAACGACTAGCTGCCATGAGATATTTTTGTTATTCTTTTCAAAAATGGATGGGACTGTTCTTTCTAGGTGACAAGATAGCAGACAGGGCCACATAAAATCTAGTCACCCCAAATCTTCCTAATTTGCAATGCATACTTCTCTTAGGATATGACAGCATCACCCCTTATTTCCTTGAAGTTGTGTTTAAAACAAAACTAAACTAAAAAACAAAACCTAAACCCTGCGATTTTTTCCCCCTCATTGGCAATTAAAAGTTGGAACTCCAGTCTCTCTCCAATGTCTCCATCTCTAAGCACTACTTTCATGCTTTTTAAGCAAAAGCTATACTTGGCCCCCAAAACAGAAAATGCTTTTGCTCTGCCCTGATTTTTTTTTTAAACAAAACAATTATGGGCCGAGACAAACGACAATCCCAATCCTCGTTGTTGCCAAATGTTAGTCTACATTAGGTAAACAGACTATAGGCTACCTACTGTAAAGGTAAAAATGGGGGGGGGGGGAAGGGCAACAGAGAGATGAATGTTGTTGCATTATGACAGCAATGGGTCAGAAAGAATGAGTATTTTACTGAAATAGTTTAATAACAAGTTCAACTCCTATGAATATAGCTATATATCTTATTCTGTTGAAGGGCCTGTGTCAGGCCCTTCTAAATGCAGAATAAAGTGCTCATGGGTGGAGAGATTTCATGATGTCACACAAAAGAAAAGGGTACTCCATCTGTATACTGCTTCCTTTTACTCCATCTCTAATAACAGAAAACTGGATACTTCCAAAGTTAGTTATGAAGAAAGAGATCTCTTGGTACAGATCTCTCTCACTATTAGGAATTTGTTGAAAACTTTTCCATGCAGTGCTGGGAAGGTGAAACATGGAGTACAGGCCTGGTTACCATGGCGGATGCTTGTCAAATTTCATTATTTCAATTTAGTGCAATGACAGGAATCAGAAAACAGCATGTAAGGGAAGAACTTGACACAAATCTAGTTTTAATGAGCTTACGTATCATAGGAAACGAGTTCAAAACATCAAATTCCCACCTTTTGCCTACAGGAATACATGTTCAGGGGAGGAGGAGTCAAATAAATATCATTTTTTAAAGACAGTGTGTCTCTAATAAAATACATTGAAAATCAGCCTGGATCCAAAGTTCTTTGTCTGTTTCCAAGTAATTTTTGTTCTGAACACTGAAGGATGACTCATAATATTGCTGCATTTAATTTCAAACACCTTTTGTATTTCTTGCTAAAGTGAAAAATGAAGCAGGCCAGTGGAACATGGAGCTGGTAGTAATCACCAAAAGATAGCAGAAGAAGTTCTTAGAGCTCTGGAATCCCTACAGAGTTTTCATCGCAACTGAAGAGCCACTCTCAACCCCACCCCCCCCCCCCCCCACCTTTCAGACACTTGAACAAATAATCTGTTTGCTGAGAAAGGACCGGCCCTTTCTCAAACTGCTAGTTTTGGAAAGGAGCGAGTTGAAACTAAGGTGCCACCTCAGGTTGGACACGCAGGCACTTTTAAACACAGCACAGCCCATTTCCAGGCTGGATGCAGAATGCATTAACCCAGTCATGGGAGAAACTGCTCAAAGCCCGTTCGTTGCCTGATTCAGTTGTCAGTGTGATGGAACGAACATCTGTTTTACTTTTATTCAGCCTAAACTGCGCAAAGAAATCCTTCACTTCAAAGTTTCCATTGTCTGCTTCCATTGCCAGCCAGTAGAGTACTCTTGGCTAAAAGGCATACAGCAAGGTTACACAATGTGCACAAGTATGTCTTACAGGGGTCTGTGCATCTCTTAAGCAGGCCTTTGAAAACTCACTAAAAGAACATGAGGAAAAAAAAAAGTTAGCATTACACACACTCCTGCCACAGTGCTCAAATGGTGATGCTGGGGTCTGCTTTCATTCACTTACATAGTTATTTTTCATTTCCTGAACAGAAGCAAGTGCCAGTCATCTGGTCTCATAAGGACACACAAATATCCAAAGGAAAACCACTATCATACACTGGACTTAAGTAGTTTAAGAAAGAGGTGAAGAGATATGGGGATAATCTGAAGGCTATCTTTCAAATTCCTCCAAAAAAAAGTTTTGGGGGTGTACATTTTTGGCAGTCATGCTATGACTCTGGAGTGCATCTGGAGGGGTTCAGTTCATGAAGGGCTGATGGCAATAAGGCAAATGGACAGACAGACTGCGAGATGGGGCTGTGGTTCCTCTACCATTGTCAGCAATTCACATGGCGTAGGTATTCAGAGCTACCTGTTTACAGCCTCCTACATATCCATCACCTCATTGTCACAAAGTTGTGGCTGATCTCTGCATATGAACCACGTAAGCTAGGGCTCAGGTGATGAGCTGGGGAAATCGCCTGATGAATTGGGACAGTGATCCCAAGAAAAACTAGATAAGTCACACAGAGATGAAATCACAGCTTTGTGCCAGGTTTAAAGATCAGTGAAAAGAGATGGAAGATTCTGATAGGTCCTGTTTGGACTGCTCAGAGCATAAAGCATTCCATTACAAAAACTGATGACAGAGTTATCTAACTTCAAATCCTTCAGAGAATTACAGTGTGGGAATTTCTAATCCACCTCCTCATAGTAATCAAAACTAGAGATAATCTGAATTAGAGAGCTCACACACAGAGATGTAAAGGAGATGTGCCAGAAGAAGAATTTTCTTGAGATGATCAGTCTAAGATTTCAGGCTTATTATAGCATATGCTTTTTCCCATCATCAAAGTACACAGAACTCAGCAAGGAACACACAGGGCTTTTCCATATTTACCTGCCTGACAAATATGCAAAGAGACTGAAAGTGTATTCAGTAAGAGACTGAGTTGTCCTGATTTAAAGTGTTTTGGAATATAAGGAATAAAAAGTTTAACCAACCCTTAAAGTCTCAAAACTCCTTCTTGGTACGTGTATTTCTTTTCCAGGGAAATGAGGCTGATTTCCCACAGTGATCATCTAACTTCAGGGGAATGGCATTTGCTTAGAGAGAGGCCTTGCTTTGCAGAGGGTTAGAAATATTAGCAAGACTTCAAAATCTTGAGTTGAACCCAATTTCACAAATATAAAGATAACACCATAAACAGAAAAATAAACATTAAGGGCTGATGGAATTTTTGTTTTCCTCTCCTTGCGAGGAGGAAGAAGAATGTATTGGGATGGCTTAAGAGGAATGGGATAAAATCTAACAAAGAAAAACTGAATCTGAGAGCCAGCAAATGTTTTATCCATGTCGAGGTTAATGAAGGGTCTAGAAAATGCCATAAGAAAGGCTAGAGGAAGATAACTGTTTTAAGTAACTGGAATCAGAACTGTATGTCAAAGAAAAACAAACATACATGGTCTGGGAGGCACAATGTGGACAACGTTCCTTTTCATCTTCAAAATTTACTGGAACACAGTTCGAGTGGAATGCAAGTGAAAACAGTAGTCATTTTTAGGGAAGTAAAAAAATCCAACTCTGTCATGGTCTCCTCCATGACGAACATGGAAACTGTTGCTACATTTGCAAAATGGACTTCCCTAGCGAGTATGTCTGCTTTTCCAGAAATGAGCAAACAATCTATTAGTTTTCAGAAGAAACAGCTTCTGGCTTGCCTAGTTACAGGCCACACTGATACTTAATCCCTTGAATCTGCTATCAGTGCAATACTCAGAAAGAACACCCACCTTCCCCCCGCCCCCATCTTTCCCAACAAATACAATGAGGTATTTTTCTGCAGGCCTTGAGGATCTGTATAAGCTATCATTGAAGAGAAGACCAGAGCACATGCAAACACTCCCTGCAAATTAATTTAATGAAGCTATATGAAAGCTAAGTTTATTTCAAAGAGTGCCCCAAAATATTTTCACAGCTTTAAAAACTTTTATTACTTTAGCTATTTCATTCTCCATTCTTCACATTAAACTTTCCTATAGTTCTCTCATTTTCTAGTTATTAGGGAGATGACAGAAATTTCGTTCCCTCAAATCAGCATGTTTTCTGTTTCCCACCATATCACCTATGCAGTATTAGGCAGTTTTTAAGTGTAGCATCAGACTTATTATGAGGTGGATATGAGATAAGAACAACAAATTCAATTAAGGTTAAATGTCACCAACTGAGGGCTCTTCCACTTAACCTTAAGCTTGGGTCAAAAGCAAAGTTGTTTTGAGTGTTTTCAATACAATTTAGTAGTAGCTGAGTACTTTCAGCTGTTGGGGTTTGAAGCCTGCCATTTGGATAAATAGCAGCCCTAGAAGGGGTAGTTTCATAAAAACAAATGAAAAAATTAGGTCTGCCTGGACAATCTGGCCTCCAAGCTTTGTTTTCACTTTAAATAAAAATCACTTTGCTACATCACGTGTAGTAAGACAAGGGGTTACTACATCAAGTGTAGCAACACCGGGCAACGCCTCAGGGAGGGATGGGAGAGGAAGCTGATGAAAAGAGGGAGCTATCTATTTAAACACAAGATAAGGACTGAATGGCAAGAACAATTCAGAAAGTATAGAAGAGCTCGGAAGGGTAACATTGGAGGAACCAAGGATTGAGGTTGTGGCCACTTGAGAAAAAACCCTAGCACCACCTGTATGATAGTAAGACTCCTGGAAAACAAAAGTGCTCCTCCTTCGCTCCCTCTGTTTATCATTCCCACAGGCAGACACCGAATTATGTCACTGGGCAATACTAAACTGCCTGCCCCAAAGACGGAGACGAGATGCACCAGTCTGACCCACGGCCCATCACCAGTCTGGTGTGGCTGAGTTCTAGACTCAGGTGTGGAAGTCGGGGGCAGCAGGCACATCAGCTGCCTACTGCAAGGATTCAGTGATAGCACTGACAACGTGGGCTGTTGCCTCCGGGGCGGCTGGTGGAGAGCCAAAGTAGCTAGTCTGATTCCTCTGATGGTCTCTGAGGAAGGGAGGGACAGCAGAACTCTTGATGTGGAGGATTCTGGTGTCTATCACTTCACAGTCGATCTGCATCATCACTTCATAATCTTGCCCATTGATTACATTCTCTGCAGGGAGGAGAGAACAAAGAAGACAGTTATTAGAACTCAAAATTTTGTGCTGAGTTTACAGCACCAAGGATGTAAATGAACTGAAAAGGGAAATACTTGTGAAACATATCCTCATGGCCATGAAGGAATTTCACCAGCTACTGACATTTAACCTTATCCCTAACATGCCACCACAGCTGCAACTCATAACCACTCCACAATTTCAATTTCTCCAAGTGCTTCATTGGCACAGTTAAGGGACAGCACCACAGCCAAATTTAATACACACTGCTTCTACTCCCAGACATTATTGTAAATGGGACACAGAATGGTATCGAAGGAAAAAATACTGGTTTTGGGATGCCCAGTTCCCACCATACTCAACACTCTGGATTTCACGCTCTGCACATACTTGTCATTCTGCAAGATCAAATGAACCATGAAACTCACCCTTCCTCAGCGCCCTCTGCCCCCGGGGCCCAATTGTTCCTCTGCCTGTAGAGGGTGGCTGGACACTGGAGAGTTCCTCCCTAATCCTCTACCATTTAAGGAGGTCACTTGGGAATTCACCTCGTCATTTCCCACCCAGCTGACCTCCTGAATTTCATCATCTCCAGAAACTCATTATCTTGCAGGATGAAAGCCTTCATGAAATGCACACCTCTTCGGATCATTTCCCACCCTGTCACAGGACTTCTTCTGGCCCCCAGGCTGAGTAACCTTTCCTTCCTTTCAGCTTGTTTTTATGCAATGTCTTCCTCCTTTAGACGGTGAGCTCCTGGAGGGCAGAGATTGTCTTAGCCTTTCTTTGTTTCCCCAGGGCTTAGAGCAGTGCCTGGCACAGACCAGGTGCTCACATTTATGGAGCCACGGTCTGATTGAAGCTGAGGGTTCTGGCTTGATTCCCAGCTCTGGCTCCAACTATAGGCGAGTCACGGATGCTCTGTGAGTCTTTGTTTCCTCATCAGCACAGAGGGAGCAATGCTATCTGTACTGCCTATCTCAAAGTGTTTTTGTGACAATGCTTTGTAAATTTTAAAAGTTTTATGGATATCTGAGTTATCCATATAATTATTTATTTTCATATTATTTTTACACATATTTTATATTAATAATTTTATAGCAACACCATATTATTTAATATAAATTACTGTTACTAATTAAATGAATAAAACAATGATTTATAATTATCTCAAGTATCCAGTGACTCCCTACTTCTTACTAAATAAAAGTTAACATCCTTCTTCTGAAATTCAAAGCCTTCCATAAGCTAGACTCATCCTGGACTTTTCCAGACTTCTGTCCTATTATTCCTTTACACTCACTCTATGCTCAAGCATAACTAAAGTACTTTCTGTCCTCTGAGCATGACCTGCACTCTGTACCTTGCTCACAGCTTCTTAGTATAATGTCCACCACACTAACAGTTGCCTAGTATAATGCCCCTTCCCCTTCTTCACTTGTCTAACTTCTATCTTATAAAGCCCAACTCATATGCCATCTTCTCCATGAAGCCTTCCCAGTTCTCCCAGGTCAGTAATAATCTTTCCTCTTCAAACCCATTTGCTTTGCCCCTCTGTAATGCGCTTATGTAATATTGTAGTTACACACACACATGTGGTTTCTGTCACTGTTTGGCTGAAATATAAGTGTTTATGAAGAGAAATATGGGGAAATCAGGTTGAAACTGGAATTTGGAGGTCCTTGAATACTTGGACTTCATTTGGTATGTAATGGCAAGACACAATTAGAACAAGGAGGAGAAAAGGAGATCTTGAGGGAAGCGTGGAAATGGAAAGCATCTACCTTGGAAAAAACTCAAAAGCAACAGAAGTAACAACATCAGGAAGATTGGTATAACGTGTGAGCGAGAAAAAGAGCCCTTTGTTGTCATCTCATGTCTTTTCATTCATTAGTAAAATTTCTACTTTCATCAGAACATTTCCGATTATGAACAACAAAGATATGATAATAACTAAAGGAGGAATGACAGCTCCAAGGCATCTGACAGCCAATTTAGCCTCCTTCCTGGAGATAGAGCTTCCCTTCTTGAATGAACAATGTTCTAATCTAGAATTCTCAATTCCAGCTTCAAAGGTTCTGAGCACATTTTCACATCTGGCATCAAGGTGGGGAGGAGGAAAGGTGTTACAGGATTTTAAGATTAAAACAAAAGCCTATTTCCAAAATTTAAGATATCCAAGTGGAAAGTCCTACCATGTAGGGAATAGTAGGAAATTCCCTTTTCTTTCTTGATCTTAAAAAATACATATATTTGGGAGCCAAGATGGCAGAGCACCAGGAGGCAATGTAGTCAAGCTCCTGTCCACAAAACTCTTCCAACCAGACCTAGAAAATGCACTAGACTGAATCCTGATGGAGAAATTCTGAAAAAGTCGTAGGGAGTCCTTTGTCCAGCCCAGCTAGGCCTAGGGAGACAGACAGGGAGGTCTGTGGACACTAGGGATGGAGTTGAGCCAGGGGCATGATGAAGCACTCCTACACAGGGAAAGTCTGTGCACCAGGGCAAAAGGACTTCTCAGACACATACTGGGCACCACCAGACCTGCATTGGTACACTGATACGGACAGATGCAAACTGGTAACTTTGTCACCCACCACCCAATTCTGGGTCACAGATCCAGGGTGGCCTGAGAAGGGAACCTGTGCTGGAGGGTGGTGCTCATGGGTAAGGAGGCCCTGGGGATATATAAGAAATGAGGAAGTTCAGAAGCAAGCAGCAGAGATGTGGGTCAGATCATAGGAGTTGAGCAGGATCTCAGTTCCAATATCTATCTTAGCCTGCAACCTCCCAGGGTAGGACTCCTAGACCAAAGAGAAGTCTGCAGTTATGAGCTAGTAAAACTTCCCAGCAGGCTGACAGGAACTGAGTCCAGCAGGATTCTACTGCTGCTTTAACTAAAAACTCAGGTCAGGAACTTGCAGCACTCAGAACACAGGGATAGCAATCAGACTTTGCCCTGGATCAGACTGCTTTGGGAGCATGGAAAACCTGCAGATCTTCAGACTGTCCCTAAGATTCTAGAACAGAATGGTGGCAGGAATGCTCCAGACAGAAAAGCAGAAAAAAATGACTCAAAACACCTACAAGCAATGCCTCAGAGTAAAACACAGCTTGGGCACAAACTCAACTAGAATTCCTAGAAGAAATGAAGTAAGAATTTCAAAGTTAAAAATGATTTTATAAATTAAATGAGAGCACTTGAGAAAAAAAATTAGAAAAGAAACGAGAGCTATGGAAGGAGGAACCGAAAAGGGACTGATTGGAACAAGAGGTACAAAACTTTGTCCAAGCAACAAACTCCCTGAAAATTAGAATGGGCCAAATAGAAGTCAACGACTCCATGAGACAAGAAATACTAAAGAAAAAGTAAAAAAACTAAAAAAAATGGAACATAAGATATCTTACAGCAAAAATAAGCGTCTCAGAAAACGGATCTGAAAACCACAACCAAAAAAACCCAGCCCAGACATCCTATTTCAAGCATTCTTAAAAGAAAACTGCCCAGATCTTAGAACCAGAAGATAAAGTGAAAACAGAAAGGTTACACAAGTCTTTTCCTGGAAAAACAAACAAACAAACAAACAAACAAACAAAATGAAAACTCCCAGCAACATCATAGCCAAAATCCAGGGCTTCCAGGTCAAAGAAAAAAATATTGCAAGCAGCCAGAAACAATGAATTCTTGTATGGAGGATCACATACAATCTAGCTGTCACCACTATAAAGGAGTAGAGAACTTAGAATATGATATTCTAGAAGGCAAAGGATATGAGCTTTTAGTAAAGAATAATTTCCCAAGCAAAACTGAACACAGTCTTACAGTGGAAAAAATGGACCTTGAATTAAATAGAAGACTTGTAGGTATTCCTGATGAAAAGACCACAGCTGTGGAGAAACTGTTAAGTTCAAACACTGAAGTTAAATGAAACACAAAAAGGTAAATATGAATAATCATATGGACTAAGTAGGATCAATTTATCACATTCAAATACAGGGAGATGTGTCCCCTTTGAATTCTATCACCATTGGGATTCATAGTGGGAGTCAAATTAGACCAGGCCAAGGAGTAGTTTTGTTATGTCTTGATGATCTTCAGAGAAAAACGGAAAGAAACGGGAAGAGGAATACACTGGGGAGCGGCAGAAGGGAAATGGACGTTAGACAAAATTATGTCACATAATTAGGCTGCATAGGAAGACATTTATATAAACAAGGAAGAGGGGATGGGGAGAGCAGCTGACCCTTTAATCTCATTCTCATCTGAACTGGTTAAAGCAACGAAAAACACATATACAGGGATGGGTTCAGAAATACATTTCATTCAAATAGAGAAATTGGTAGGAAAGAAGAAAAGGGGAAGGACAGAGTAAGTGAAAAGGATTAATAGTAAGCAAAACAAACTCTAAGGATGTACAAAAATATAGCAATTTGAGGTGGCAAAGAATGGGAATCAGAAGGGATGCTTATAAATTGGGGAATGGATGAACAAGTTACAGCATGTAAATATGATGGACCACTTTTGTGTTGTGAGAAATGATGAAGAGGATGGTTTCAGAGAAACTTGGGAAGGCTTGTAAGAACAGATACAGAGTGAAGTGAACAGAACCAGGAGAATAAATTTAAAATGACAGAAATATGGTAAAGGAAAACAACTTTGAAAGAATCAAGAACTCATCAGTGTAATGACCAAACATGACTCCAGAGGACCAACATTGAAACATGCTACCCATCACCCTTTAGAGAAATAAAAGATTCAGAGTGCACAATGACACAACAAATCTTTAGTTCTCAGGTGTGAATCAGGTTTTTGGAGTAGGAGGGTGAGAAGGCAGATTTTTACTAACTGAAAAAGATAAGATATAATTTAAAAAATCACACCCTTCTCACCCCTCCATTAGTGAACTCTGAGGCTCTGTTGGGATAAACCTAATTACCCCCAACTTGGCTCTGTTTGTTGGTTCTGGGTAGCCAGCTTTTCAATCCATACTTCACT